TAATCGATCGCAAAGAATCGAGGGTATCGTAGAAAATGCGGGTAACGCGAAAGAAAAGGGAATCGTGTTCGATGTAGGTCGTTTTGCTCGTGGAAAAGACGGAAACCTGCTGATTTTTCCGACAGCTCGGCTTCGGAAGTTTCTCGATCGAGCCGTCACGCGTCGAATTGGATCAGTCTCGACGCGATTTCGTTCCTTTACACCGGGCTCCATCGAACGGTAATCCGAGCAGTAATCCCGTTCTCTTTGAATTTATCTCGAGGAGAATGTATGCCAACTTTTCCGTCCAACTTTTCGAGACCGAGTTCCCGGACGCTCGTCGAATTTTAAGCGCTTTCGAACTCCGACAGTCGTCTTTATTTTTCAAAAAGGAATCCCTCGTTCTCTGTTCGCACGGAAAACCGTCGGACCGCGATCTTTCGCCTAAATTTCACCGAACGCGTGGATTTTTACGAACGAGGAGAAACGTTTGTCCCTCGTCTCAAGTAGGTTCAAAAGAAATATTTGCTTCGAAACGATTCGTAAGACACGAACTCGTTAGTCGAATCGAAGCAATTAACCTCGAGGAGGTTAAGAATTACCGATATCGAGATATCGTGCTCGTTTATCGCGAACGGAAGAATGAAAGCGAACGTTCCCGTAATTCTTTCCACGATCGATCGGTTGCGTTCATCGGATCGAGTCTTCCCAGTCGTTTGAGCCGATAGAAGCCGAAACGAACGAAACAAGGTACTTCGAACGACACGATTACGAGTGGATTTCGAAAGATCGGTCCAGCTGTGTCCACATCGCTGCGCAACCGATCGACTCGCGTTCGAGATGTTTCGTCGGCGCGGTTGACAAAGACGTTGTTCGAGGCGCGTTACGCTAATTTGTCGCCGAGCGTGGCACGCATACAGGTAAATCGGGTCGATCGCGTCGCGCGCGCGTACGCGACTCGACAAAAACGTTCAACCCCCGTGATTACTCGACTGCGCCGTCCAACCAAACGACACGGTGCAGAAGAAACGTTTTTCATCTCCGAGGAACAAGAGTAACGCTAACCTATCTATCTACGACTATTTACGGTTCGTCTTTCTCTACGGACTGCAAGACGGATCACGAGTTTACCTTCTAACGCTGTACCGTTGCGGGCGCTTTCGCTGTACGAACGACGACGTATCCGTCGCGATTCTTCCGCTTCCTCGCCTCCGACTCGCGAGAGTTTTTCGTAAATCGACCGACTGGAAACTGTCTTTGCATAATCGATCGCAAAGAATCGAGGGTATCGTAGAAAATGCGGGTAACGCGAAAGAAAAGGGAATCGTGTTCGATGTAGGTCGTTTTGCTCGTGGAAAAGACGGAAACCTGCTGATTTTTCCGACAGCTCGGCTTCGGAAGTTTCTCGATCGAGCCGTCACGCGTCGAATTGGATCAGTCTCGACGCGATTTCGTTCCTTTACACCGGGCTCCATCGAACGGTAATCCGAGCAGTAATCCCGTTCTCTTTGAATTTATCTCGAGGAGAATGTATGCCAACTTTTCCGTCCAACTTTTCGAGACCGAGTTCCCGGACGCTCGTCGAATTTTAAGCGCTTTCGAACTCCGACAGTCGTCTTTATTTTTCAAAAAGGAATCCCTCGTTCTCTGTTCGCACGGAAAACCGTCGGACCGCGATCTTTCGCCTAAATTTCACCGAACGCGTGGATTTTTACGAACGAGGAGAAACGTTTGTCCCTCGCGACCGTCCGCTTACCGGTCCGTTTTTCTAGAAACGCAAATCGCGCTCGGATTTACGTAAGAGCGTCGACACGAAAACGGCATTACGGTCGCGTCTCGTCGAGTCGGCGTCGGTGTCGGTACCTCGGAAACCGTTCTTCTCGTATTTGGGTCGCACGCGTTGCAACTGGAGCGATTTTTCCCCCACGATCCCTCTCTTTGTTTTCGTTTGCTCGCAAAGAGAAACCGCGCATAACGCGACGACGATGAAACCGCGAAACGGTACGCGCATAACTCTCGATTACATTGTCCGCCTTAGCGAGCTCGCAATTGGAACGAAAATACATAATTCCGTGGCGAAATAAACCGGGACGAGGATCGAACAAAAGTGGCGTATCAAGGAGGCGAAACGAAGTAAAGCAAACGAAGGGTAAGTAAGTCGGGCAGGGTCGTTTCGGGTACTCGAGGAAAGACGGAACGACAAAGTCCGCGTCGAACGATATTTACGGCCGTCGTACGCTCGCGAATCTTGAAACTTCGACGCGAAGATGCTGACGAAGGAAAAACAGCGGGAAGTTTGCCAATATCGGCGAATTTTTCGTCCACCGGTGAAATTTGTTGCTCGAAAAAACGCTCCGGTATAAGTTGTCCGTTGATTGTAGAACTTTCCAAACAACTTTAATCTCGCAAGTACGAGGAACGGGCTTAATCGACCGCTTAATTTCGAGGCATAAATTTCTGCCGCCCGCGTTCCGCTGTAAAAACTGCCGGTAATTCGGGACAGAGATGGAAAGTTTCCGGCGAACGCGAAAATGGTAGAAAGGTAGAAGACACCGTCGAGATCGATCGACTCGCGTAAAATCATGCGAAAAATAGACTGTATGCTTTGCAAAATTGCGACACGATACTCGAAGGTTTTACGGCACGATTATGCCGTAGTTTGTCGCCAAGTTATTTAGAAGGATAGTTTTTCGAAGCGAAAGAAGAATAAACCGAACGGAGTGGAGCTCCGAACACGAATAAAAAATTCAAAGATCCACGAGGTGGAAACGAGATTTTTCACCGAGCAATTTATGTTCGGAACGATAGTTTTATTTAAACGGGGGGCAGGAAATTTTCTGCGGGATCATTTATGGATAGGAGAAAGGAAAGGAACGGAGAATTTACGACGGGAGTCTGGTAGCTGCTCTGAAAAAAATACTGCGCTCCGTCGGGTTAGGAATTAAAAGCGATCGAGAAGATGTTAAACGGTGGATGTCTCCGATGATTTCGAATAAAAATTTTATGCAGCCGTAGATAGCGAACAAACGAGGACCACGACGCGATTCGCATTAAAAACGACAGTCGACGAGAAAACGAGTTTCGGTATTCCAGTAATTGAATTAGCAGACCACGCGGTGAAAAGAAGAACAGGCATAAAGGAAGAAAAAGAGAAGAAAGAAGTCTCGTCGCTTTGTAGAGATCCTCGTACGCGTTAAAGCCGGGACACAAAGGGAGGCGCGCGAAAATGTATTTACCGCGTAAAAACGGAGCTCGCGAAGTACATGGAAATGCGCGGCGGATTTTAACGAAACGAGGTTCACCGGTAAAGAGGTGGGAATCGCGTAACTGTAACAAGCATCGACGAGCGAGACACGCGCGTTAACGAGTCGCGCGTTAAAAATGCATACACGTATAGCTTCGTCGTCGTCGGTTCACGCGATCATCGCGACTTCGTATTCCAGCTTTTCCGAGTAACGAAGTCGACGAGTCTCTCTCGAACGCCGAGTTCTCCGTTTAATTCCCTGCTCGGTAATCGCTGCAAATTAATATCGACAGCCAGTCGATTCCGATGCAATTTCGTTTTTCCACGTTTCCACGGTAAGATTTACTGTTTTCCGTGAACGTTGATCGAATAAAAGCCGATGAAGCTAGCTCGAACCGACGGGGAAAAAGAGGAAAAGAAAACTGGTTCCAACGAACAGCGACAAGAGTGAAATTTTAAAGAGAAGGATCTTCGTCGGAGAGTTCGAAAAACGAAACCGCAGTACTTTTCCTTTTCGACTTTTTCGAAGCGGTGGACCGCCGGCCACGAGGATCCGTTCAATTTTTCATGGACTTTCGTTCGGTAAGCAGAACGCGTTTAAAGCGTAACTCTATCGAGTGATTATTTAACGAGATTCCGACTCGCGGGGCATCGTAAATACGTAATACTATCCGCAGGCACGCAATCTTGTCGTCCGCGTTTCTATCGCACGATTCCCGCGTGGATAATACTTTCTAGTATTAGTCGCTTATTCTTCTATTTCTTCGGGAAGATCGCACGATTTGTTCTCCGTTTCTATCGGATGGAAACAAAGTTCCTTTCCGTAACGACGAGCGCGATGAAAAGGCGAGGAATCGTGGACAAAGGAGACTCTGAAACGTGCGGGATGAAAGGTCGAAACCAGGCGTATTTTAATAAGTCCGTTAGAGGGATAGGATACGGGTGGGTGTCTCTTTATCTTCGACCGCTCGCGTACTCGTTACATCGTCATTCGCGAAAGGTTAAATGAAATGCCTCGTCTCCGCTTACTTTCCTTTTCACGGTTTTCTCGCTTTTCTTCATTTTCAACGCAGGTTTCGCCTCGCAGATCACCGCGCGATTCTAGTCGACGATTCGAAACAATTACTCGGTAATCGAAAAATTGCCGCGATCGCGCGCGAACGAAAAACTTTTCCTTCCGCGCGATACGAGAAGCCGAGATAAGTTTTTCTTCAAAATTCCAAGAAGTTTCAAGAAGTAAGTTCGCAAGGATCCGAGTCGCTTCTTTATTCCCGCTGTCCGACCTATTGCCCGAAATCACTGTTTCGCTGTTTTCGTCGTTATCGCGTAGGTCGCGAAAGTCCATCGACGTAGCCGAGTTTCCTCTCGCGTATTCGTGGAACACGCCAGTCGACGATTCTCGCGAGATGTTTCGAGAATTTCGCGCATTTCCCGGCGAAACGAATTTCCACGGGAACGCGATGCTCGTAATCTCGTCGTTTGCCCCCATGTCGTCGCTCGTACAAAGAAAGTCGAGAGAAATTCGGTCGAGTACGGAGAACTAGAAAATCGACCGCCAAGCCAAACTACTCGAGTCTACGTTTCTATCGACGCTATCGTCGCACGATTCTCGGAACGATTCGTGCAAGAGAAAGAAAGAAAACGGGTAGATAGATAAATAGATAGATAGATAGATAGATAGATAGATAAATAGAGAAACGGTAAGAGAACAAGAACGAGAACGAGAACGTGAACGAGAAAAGATTCATCGAAGAGGGTCGCGTCGCGTCGATGTTACCTAGGTATGCGTGTACGCCGGGCTGCGCGCTCAACGGGAGTCAGTTTAACGTCTCCCGTTTCTCTTATTTCCGTTCGAGCGATCGCCGCTTTCCTCCCTCTCGATCCGATCAACTAGAAACGATCGAGGAACCGTCGTCAGGCTGTTCAAGGAGCTTGACGTTACTCGCCGCCCAACGACAACGCCTGCACGATCCGCGGATCGGCTTTGCTACCCTCCCGGAACTCCTCGAGGGTCAGTTTGTCGTCGTGGTTTTTGTCCATTTGATCGAAGATCTTGTCCACCCTTTTCTGCGGCGTGTTCTCGTCCTCCGCCTGCGGCTGCTGTCCCTGAAACATCATCGCATCACATTTACCTATTCCGAATTAAGATCTCTCGATGCGCGATCGGTCGACACGATTCAATTAGGATTCGATATTGTAGCGTAACGCGAAGCGAATCCCGTATATCGGGATTCAGAGTGGATAGGGGTACCGTTCAAAGACGAAGAAAAGGCGAAGTCAGCTCGGCGGTTAATTCGAGTTTTTCGCGTCGATAACTTCCAGTCGGAGAGGGTCGAAAGGAAACGCGAATTTAGAGAGCGGTTTAAATCGATCGACGGCTTTCGTTTTTGTCGCGTTATCGGCCATCGCCTCTCTGGTCGAAGCTTCTCGACCTCTCGAGCGTTCGACCGAGTTTAGAGACTGTTCAATGTGACGGAAATCTCGTTGTTAATCGTCGCGTCCGCGTTCTCGAAAACGCGATCTTCGATCGAACCGAGAATCTAATTTTTCCTCTAATTTTCTACTCCGAGCTAAATTAAACGATTCCGACGTATCTTCGATCTCGCGTTATCGCCCGTTGCCGGAGAGGATAGTTCGGATTAAAGTTTCCTTAAAGTCGCGTAAAATTACGCGAGAGCACGCTTTTCACCGGAGCGATCGGTTTACCGAGCGGACGGTTAATATCGCGCCCTTCCCACCGTTTCATAGTCTTTCTTAACGATCGTCGCAGATCATCTTTTCTTCGTTTTTACCTTATATAGAGCTCCAAAGTTCACGACCTACTTCCGTAAATTTAATTCCATCCCAACGCGTACACGCGAGACCGATCTTCCTCCCTTTTTAGCGCGCAGGAATTTCGGTATTCTCCGAAGGCGTCCTTTCTCTCCGACGACCGTCTAAACGATTATGTTCAATCGTTCGACGAAAAATTAATGAAAGTTAAACGAGATTTGAAAGCTTAATAATTTCGCGATTCCCGTTAAATCACCGGGATGGTCGACACGACGCACCGTTCGTTTTAACGGCGCAATCTGCCAGTTCGCGTTAACACGGTACTCGTTGGTATTATTTATTTACGAGCAATATAAACTTTCTCTGAAAACATTTGTCGACGGAAGCTCGCGCTGCTCGTATATCGCTATAAAAATAAGAGACTAGCCGCGATGCGAACTCGATAACGCCGATAACGGTAATAAAGGTAGGCGGTACAACACAAACATATTTTCCTTTCTCGAGCCTTTTTATCATCGAACACCGATTAAGGGCATTGACTTTGCCTCGCGACTTTCGCGTGCTGTATCTACGTTTCGATTTTTTCGACCCTCCGTGATGTTTTGTCGCGTGCTCCGTTCAAAGAATCCCTTTTACTACGATTCTAAAACGAGTCACGTGATTCGCGCATCTTATCGTTTCTCATATTAAAACGAGTATACCAGCACGAGCTTCGAGTTTTAGTACCGTGGTACACCTACGAATCTAGATTCGACCACGTTGACCCACTCTCGACAACGCGTAATCTCGTATCGCGGCACGAGCGACGACGCGAATCTCTTTCATGGACGTACAGGGTGTTTCGAAAAAGCGGTGCACCGCGAAAACCGAGAACACTTTGCGGTGCGAGGAGAGAATCGCGCCACGGGCGATCGAAGATTGGATTTAACCCAAAAAGGTTTAAATAAATAAATAGTTGAAATAAAAGCAGCGGGGAGATGGTCGGCGTAATCCGTGGCGCCGCTGTTATTTCGCCGCTATAGCGGCGCCAATGCGAGTCCAATGTTATCGATAACGTCGAGTTCTCGGCGTCGGCGTTTCACGAGGAAATTCGGGCATCGATCGGCCAAGATTTTCCGCGAGCTCCGCGAGATCGATCGTAACCGAACGTGGCTGCGTTTCGTGCGCCAGCCCTGTCTCTTTTTGCTCCGACGATTCGCGGTAAGCTCTCGGAACGGGAAAACAAGCAGGTCCGAATCGATCGTCACGCGTCGTCGGTTAACGGAGAAATCGGTGATGGATAGTGACGGACGACGCGTACGAGCGATCGCGACATAATTACTCGATCCAATTAATTTTGATCGCGTTTGTCGTTACTCGATGGAGAAATCGAGCTCTCTGATTATCCCGAATAACGAGCGGTAAAGCGTTTAAGAAGCCTTCCGAAACGATGTCAGTCGACGAGATAATTGCAACGAACCGTGTCTGGTAATTTGGACCTTCTTGCAAAGTAATTTTCTTTTCGTCGAGACGTAACGTTCTCCGTTGTGACCCAGTAACGACGAAGCTCGGTCTTTGCTACGAGCAGGTCTTTCCGCGGAACCGTTTCGACTGCGCCGAATTCCATCTTTTCTTTCGCGACACTCCCATTAGACGCTTTCTTAAGTTCTACATTTCGATTCGGTTTAATCGCGTCGATTAGAAGGCTCGCGAAGGCCGCGTAAACGCGCAGGGAGGAGTCTTCCGGTGAAGCGGCGCGTTGGTCAACGAGCGACACTCTTTCTTCGAAAATACGAAGAAAACCGTAACGTTTCCTGGCAACCTTAAAAGCCGTGTACTCACCACCATCTCGTATATCGCGTCGACGATATTATACATCTCCTCCCTGGTGATGAAACCATCGTCATCCACGTCGTACAACCGAAATGCCCCTGAAAGTAAACGAAAAATCGATACCTCTCTCTATCGTGGCTTCCGCGGAATAATATCGTTTGCGGAAAACGAGCGATCATTGTACATCGAGTGTAACGGACGTTTTAGACGTTTCTGAAAATAACCGCGTAAAATATTCAAGTCGCATCGCTCCGATAAACTTGGTCTCGTTTATTATTCCTTTGACGTCACGGAGTACGATTCGACACTTTAAAAACATCTGTCCTGCCTAATTTCGTACATTCCGCGATTGTTCGTTAACGCGTTCGTCGTCGACGGCCGAGTCTTATTTCCCGCGATTTAAGAATCGTAATTTTGTTCCCGTTTCGCGATTACCCGCGGTAAATGAAAATGGTAGCGTCACCGTGGTGACTATCTCGGTATCCAACGGGTTGATTTTCAGCTTCTCGGAGGACGTTCAATCTCTCTCGTTTTCGCCAACATTTTTCAGAGCGTGACAAGTTTGGTTTATTACTCACAGTGAAGTTTCTCGTCCAAGTTGCCGCGCGACGTCACCGACAGCGCCTTTATGAACTCCTCGAATTCTATCGTGCCGTCCTGCAAAACAATCGTTCCTGCAACTTCTTCGTCTCCTTCCGATGACGGAACGGAACTTATTGTCCGTCGCCTCCGCCGCGTAACGTTACACTTTCGAGAAACTCCAACACGGTGAAGCGTTTCAGCGAGCGAATTAACCGGATAAAGGGAAGAAACGTTAGTAGAAATTATTCCGATCCCTTAAAACGCGAACGATCTTATTCCATTTTCTCGTTTACTACCCTCTCGAGAGGTTACGTTCTCCAAACATTGTAAACTAAAAACAATTTTTTATTACACACATCTCGCGTAAATAAGAAGGATCCCCGAATACGTCGTTAGAGAAATATGTAGTCGATTTCGAAAGAAGGAAAGTACGAAACGGCACTGTTGACCGGCGCGAAACAGCCGGAGGCGTTCGTAAAGGTAATTTAACGCCACGCGTACCTGTGGACTCGTAGGAAAGTTTCGCGATCGAAGCGGCGCGAAGAAAAAGCGTAAAAGCTACGTTACAAACACTTACGTTGTTCTCGTCGAACACCCTGAAGACGAGCGAGGCGAATTTCGATGGATCGCCTTGAGGAAAGAACTGCTTGTAGATTTTTATGAAACCCTGAAATCACGCAACAGGCTCGCTTATCTTCAAACTTCCTTCGTGCGTATCGATTTTCGTTTAATTAAGGTGCCAGCTGAAACGAGGTCATACCTGTTCCGTCAGCAAGCCGTCGGGGCAGTCTTTCAGGAATCCTTTGTGCCTAAACAAACAGTCGTCCAAAGTTATCGAACCTGCTCTTCTTTCTAATTCGATCGCTTTCATTTTCTCTTTTCCTTTTCTTACGAAATGTCTACGATTCTACTCGCTTCCGATAAATTACGATCCCGAAATACGTGGTCGAACGTTTCGATCGCGCGGACGTGTCTTTCGAACGCGATCGGAAACTTTTTCGGAACGATTTACTTTCGTTCGTGCAAATCGTCGAGCCAAATTATTTTCGAAGCCACGTTTTTCTATGTCTCTTCGTTATCGAAAACGGTCTCGATCCGTCGGAAGAATTTTAATTCTTTACTTTGTCTGTCTACTCACCATTGTCGAATCTCCTTCTCGGTAACTGAAACAGAAAGCAACGAAAATGTTTTTAATCGATCACAGGCCCGTAACGAGCAGCGGGGATAAATGATAGAAGGAAAGCGAGGGCAAATACGTAAGAATAACGTTCGGAGAAGATTTTGTTAATCCGTTCCTCGTATCTAACGGATTCAGTGTCTATCGAGCGTACGAATTTTCTACGTCGCGGAAATTGAACATTGGTTTTGCGAGAACGGCGATATCGGATCGGTGAAAGCGCGCAACGCGGGAAGGTTATAACCATTTGTTAAACGAGGAAACAAGGAAAATGATCTGAAGTAATACCTGAAACTCGTAATTTCCGTGATTCGAACGTTTGTAAAAAGTTCGAACACGACCTCCATTAATTAACGGTTTAGGAGATTGGACCGTGTTGTGTCACGGGAGCGTACGGCGAGAACGTCAACGGATCGAACAACGTCCGCGCATCGAGAGGAAAAATGATTCGACAGGAAAAACAGTAGCGCCCCGGGCCACCGATCAAATTTGTTGCAAGCTGGAAAAGCGTATTGTGGTCTTCTTGTTTTCTAGAAAATTGTATAGAATCGGTAAGTGGACCAATGCTGGCCAACGATAGATGAGCTTTCGGCGTAGTCCCGGAAAAATTGTTTTAAAATTGAGTAAAAACGGAGTGTTTTGTTCGAGCATTCTTTTCTTTCTTCCCCGTATCGCGGTGATAGCGGGTAGGAGACTTCGACACGGATACTTTGAAAATTAAAACCCATCGTCGTTGAGCGAGCAAACAATACGATAGAAAGAATCGCGTACGAAAATCGTCGATTTCTCGGTAATCGTTTAAGCTCTCTTTTGACAAATCGAGCATACATAATGGTCGCGCATCATTTTTAACGTCCCTCGATAAATTTGCACACGGGTTTTCAACCGGAACGCAATTAGACGAACAAGGTCGTTTCGTTTTCGACAGAATTCTCGCGAAAGCACCTCCGCCCTAGGATAATTTCGTTCTCCCTAATATTTTCGGCCGCGTTCATTTTTTCCTCGGACCTCGAAGAGAGGCCATCGAAAGCTAACATTCTCTCGCGCGATAAAACAACGTTCCCCGGAGCTCCTACTTTCGAGTTTCTCGCTTTCCCGGGTACTTTTTCGGAGAAACGATGCGTCATAAGCGGTTTTGCCGGTAAATACGATAAACTTGCAAGGCGCATCGGAAACTGGAGACCGATACCGTTTCGGGCCGACAGTCTCCAGGGATCGAGAACAGCATTTGGCTGCAACGACTCGAAGAAAACGATCGGCCGTCATAGGAAACGAGACTTCTCGGTACGTGTTTGGAAACCTATCGATCTTCCGTACGAGCTGCCGACGCGACGCGTCGCGTACGAGACGGTGACGAACCGCGCCTCGGTGTTCTCCGAGGTACATTCAACACGAAACGAGGTTCCGATGCGGAAAAAACGTTTCGCGATCTGGAAGACCGGCACCGAATCGTTAATAAAACGTTTGTCGGCCCTTAAAATACTTTACCGGCACGTAACTGTATTAAAAGTTGCCGGTAAAGGTCGGCTGAATTTTTAATAACGCTATTTGTAGCTTTGTAACGCGTACAACGGTATAAAAAGGCGGCGAATAATGCGCGGTAGAAATCGTGGAGCGATCCAACGAGCGATAAACCGTACGAGAAAAGTTAACGAGAGGAAAATTAAATCGTCCTGAAACTTTTTCAGCCGCCGCACCGGTTGATTCGCTGAAAGTTTCGAGCGGAATAATCGAGCGACGAGCAGCTTCTCCCTGTCAGAAAGAGGAAACGTTGAGCCGTCATTCTGTGGTCTAGCGAGACGCGCGCGAGCCACGTCGACGACGTTAAATAAAGTAGAGATTATCCCTGTCCCTGTGGAAACGGTAAAGCGACGCGGTGACGTCATCCAGCGTCGCGTCGACGAGAGAATAGTGAAAGCGTGGGCGGCGCACGGACGGTATTGCGGGGTAACGATAATTTCAGCCACGTGGCCACTACTTCATTGTCCATCAAGGTATATACCGCGACGCAACCGACTACCGAATCGAACGAATAATTTATATCCCCACGTGTACGAGACAGCTGACACTTTCAACCAGTTTTTTCGCGATGCGTTTGTTCGCATCGTTTCCCTCCTGCAACTTGCGTGTTCTTACGAAAGCATTCCATTAATTTATTTATTCGACGCAGAAACGGAATCGCTAATAGGAAGCGATCGAAGCTCCGTTCGTTTTATTTTCGAGCCGATTCGTCGCGTTATTCTCGTAATCTGCCTCTCCGACTTCTACCACGGCAATTTCCATTATCTTCGACATTTCGATCAGCGGATGCTTCGAATTATAGAAGGAATAGCACGGCGTCGCGACGCGTCGCGTCGGGGGTGCCCGCGTAGATATATCTACCCCGAGTACGGAAGGCGCGCGTAGGTGAAACGCGTGGGTGAAAGTTCTCCCGAACGACGAGCACGCGAAACTACGCGACCGAGTTGTTTGTCGGATCCGCGACGACAAATATTTACTCGAGAGAGAAACGGGCTTTGACGAGGTTCGCGCCGAGCCGGGGAAACAAGCTTCTCGCGATACGTCGTCGATTCGTCGCGGAACGGAGCGAGGTCGTTCGGTTAATTAGCGAGGCCGCGATTAATCATTTTACAACGATACACTATAACGAGCTATTTCGACGCGGAGGTCGAAGAAAGTTTTCGCGTCGACCGCAGGGTTCTGTTCCCTGTCCAGCGATCCAGCCGATACGCCTTCGCTCGTCCCTGTCCTCTATCTCCTCTACCGAACCTCTCTGCCGACCTCGTAATTGCTTCGAGGCCAAGAAGGCTTAATTGCTCTTCGTCCATTTCCCTTCTTTTTCTCGCGCCCACGCACCTTTCGATTCCAACCTTCGATCCGCTTCCACGTCTTCTCGTTCGACAACTTTCCGTACTTTATTTCCTCGTCTTTTCTATTTTCCCGACTGCTCCGCGGTCTGATTACTTTTCTCGCTTAACCTCGTCCAACCGGAATCTTACGGTACGTACTATGCTCTTTCTTTCCCTTCGCCGATGCCTTCCCGCTCCATTTTTTCCTTCCCTCGTATCTGCTTCTCGCGATCTCTTTCGCACCGTTTGCCCGACTTCCTCGGACTACTTTTCAAACTTATTCTTTACACTCCGCGTTCGCTCGCCTTTGCCCGAAACTTCTCGCAGCCATTTCCCACCTCCCTCCTCCTCGAGTCTTTCCTCCCTATTTTTCTTACGCAATGTCCTTTCTCGAACAAAAGCTGCAGTTTTTAAGCCTGATAAATTCTCGAAAGCAACTATCCGTACGAAATATTTAATTTTGCGACGTTTCGTTAATCGAATTTATATCTTCCCAAAAGCTCGGCCATGAATTTTACGGGCTACTTGAACTTTGCTCTCGTAACGGGTGGTAAGACCGGGCCACGGCTAACAAAAGCGCTAGCTATCTCTTCGAAACGAGCTCTCCATTTTACGCGACCAACTTTCCTTTCGTCTCGTTATTTTCGTTTCTTGATCTTTCGTTGGCGTTCTTGTTGCTCCCGTGGGATGCAGTTTTCCGTCTTTCGTTGCGGTAATAAAGCTGAAAATCTCTCGGTCCGCGGGCCAAAGGCGATGCCATGAGAGCCGTCTCTCTTCTCTAATCCCCGGCTCGGCGAAGCTCGTTTCGAGGCTCGAAGAAGAAGCCCCGGCTTCCGGGCTTTCTGCTTTCCAGGTTCGCTCCGAAACGGTCCAGGTTCACCTCCTAAACTCCGCAGGATCGTTTCGGATAGTCGTCGATATTGCTGTCGCGGCATTAACGTCCTCGTAACTCCTTATCCTGGCTACGTGCTCTCGACCGTCGTCCTTCAAAACGAACTTCCGATTTTCCACGGAAAGCAGGGTTCGATTCGCCGTTATTTAAAACGAATTTGATCGTGTAGTCATATTTATAGTCATACACCGAACGAATTTATCGATTGGGAAAATATTGCGGTGTTCGTCGAAAAAAAGGCTTTTAATTTTCTAATGGGTGATGGTCAGCTGATCATTTGAACTACTCCCTCTGTCGAGTGGCTCGCTTTATCTTCGCTGCACGGTGAGTGGGCAGAGCTTTAGACTACGGTAATAAACGAATTTTCCGCTCGGTCGAGTATAAAAAGTAAACGCGCGGGTGCATCGGGCACACGCAGATTCGGAGAAACGGGAAGATTTCGGTGGAGTTTCGTCAAAGCGATGGTCACGATTCGGAACGTTCCTCGTCGTTTGCTGTGCACTCGTGGACCGCGTCACACACCTTTTGTTCGCTCGTTAATTAAAATAACTTCCGAAAACTTTATTGTCCGTGCTAGAGGCGATCGGGATCCTCGACAATGTGGCGGCGTTGAAATGGGAAAACTTTCCAAGATTTACCTCCGAGAAGCACCAGCGGCCCAAACTTTTCCTCTAATCCGAGAACAACGCCTTCCTCCAATTTTTTCTCGCTAGCGAATCGTCGTTTAAACTCGTTTAACGCTCCTGTCCCAGCTAACGACGACGATATTTTCCGCTTCCGTATATCGGTGCTCGCGTTCGGCCGATCAAAACTTATTATTCCACCGAGAAAACATAAATAACCGTTAAACGTCGTTTTGTTTTCGATACACCTTCGCCGTTATTTCCGCCATGGAGCTCTCAAGTATTTTATTTCCGCTCAGAGACACAAAGATAACAATAGTTTCGATAAACCGTGCACAAAAGAAGCAAGATATAATTTCAAAGAGAAAATTTGAAAAGCTACATCTTCGATTTACCATTGCCACAATGGGCTTTAATTGTTAACCAATATTTATCGAGTTACAAAAGAAGAACGTTCGTACGCGCGTATTGTTCCACTTTATCCGGAATGTGCGGCGCATCGAAAGAGTGCAGCGGAGTTTTAGCCCATCTGGATAAAATACGAGCCGAGCGTGACAGCGCAGGAGGAAAGAAAGAAAAAAGAAAAGCGATCGAGTATCGCGAAAAGTACTTTACGTAGCGC